GCTAGGCCCTTGTTCTTGCAATTTTGCACATGCTAGACCCTTATTCTTTTTATTTTGCACACACTAGGTCCTTGCTCTTGCTATTTCGCGAACGCTAGGCCCTTGTTCTTGATTTTTTGCACACGCTAGGCCCTTTCTCTTGCTATTTTGCACTCGCTATGCCCTTGTTCTTGCAATTTTGCACACGCTAGGCCCTTGTTCTTGCAATTTTGCACACGCTAGGCCCTTGTTCTTTTTATTTTGCACACGCTAGGCCCTTGTTCTTTTTATTTTGCACATGCTAGGCCCTTGTTCTTGCTATTTTGCACACGCGATGCCCTTGTTCTTTTTATTTTGCACACGCTAGGCCCTTGTTCTTGCAATTTTGCACATGCTAGACCCTTGTTCTTTTTATTTTGCACAAGCTAGGCCCTTGCTCTTGCTATTTCGCGAATGCTAGGCCCTTGTTCTTGATTTTTTGCACACGCTAGACCCTTGCTCTTGTTATTTTGCACTCGCTAGGCCCTTGTTCTTGCAATTTTGCACACGCTAGGCCCTTGTTCCTGCAATTTTGCACACGCTAGGCCCTTGTTCTTTTTATTTTGCACACGCTAGGCCCTTGTTCTTTATATTTTGCACACGCTAGGCCCTTGTTCTTGCTATTTTTCACACGCTATGCCCTTGTTCTTTTTATTTTGCACACGCTAGGCCCTTGTTCTTGCAACTTTGCACATGCTAGACCCTTGTTCTTTTTATTTTCCACACGCTAGGCCCTTGTTCTTGCTATTTCGCGAACGCTAGGCCCTTGTTCTTTTTATTTTGCACACGCTAGGCCCTTGTTCTCCCTATTTCGCGAACGCTAGGCCCTTGTTCTTTTGTTTTTTGCACACGCTAGGCCCTTGTTCTTTTTATTTTGCACACGCTAGGCCCTGGTTCTTGCTATTTTGCACATGCTATGCCCTTGTTCTTGCAATTTTGCACACGCTAGGCCCTTGTTCTTTTTATTTTGCACATGCAATGCCCTTGTTCTTTTTATTTTGCACACGCTAGGCCCTTGTTCTTTTTATTTTGCACACGCTATGCCCTTGTTCTTGCTATTTTGCACACGCTATGCCCTTGTTCTTTTTTTTTGGCACACGCTAGGCCCTTGTTGTTGCAATTTTGCACATGCTAGACCCTTGTTCTTTTTATTTTGCATACGCTATGCCCTAGTTCTTTTTATTTTGCACACGCTAGGCCCTTGTTCTTGCAATTTTGCACATGCTAGACCCTTGTTCTTTTTATTTTGCACACACTAGGCCCTTGCTCTTGCTATTTCGCGAACGCTAGGCCCTTGTTCTTGAATTTTTGCACACGCTAGGCCCTTGCTCTTGCTATTTTGCACTCGCTAGGCCCTTGTTCTTGCAATTTTGCACACGCTAGGCCCTTGTTCTTTCAATTTTGCACACGCTAGGCCCTTGTTCTTTTTTTTTTTGCACACGCTAGGCCCTTGTTCTTTTTATTTTGCACACGCTAGGCCCTTGTTCTTGCTATTTTGCACACGCTATGCCCTTGTTCTTTTTATTTTGCAAACGCTAGGCACTTGTTCTTGCAATTTTGCACATGCTAGATCCTTGTTATTTTTATTTTGCACACGCTAGGCCCTTGTTCTTTTTATTTTGCACACGCTAGGCCCTTGTTCTTGCTATTTTGCACACGCTATGCCCTTGTTTTTTTTTTTTTTGCACACGCTAGGCCCTTTTTCTTGCTATTTTGCACATGCTAGACCCCTGTTCTTTTTATTTTGCACACGCTAGGCCCTTGTTCTTTTTATTTTGCACACGCTAGGCCCTTGCTCTTGCTATTTTGCAATCGCTAGGCCCTTGTTCTTGCAATTTTGCACACGCTAGGCCCTTGTTCTTGCTATTTTGCATACGGTAGGCCCTTGTTCTTTTTATTTTGCACACGCTAGGTCCTTGTTCTTTTTATTTTGCATACGCTAGGCCCTTGTTCTTGCTATTTTGCACACGCTATGCCCTTGTTCTTTTTTTTTTGCACACGCTAGGCTCTTGTTCTTGCAATTTTGCACATGCTAGACCCTTGTTCTTTTTATTTTGCACACGCTAGGCCCTTGTTCTTGCTATTTCGCATACGCTATGCCCTAGTTCTTTTTATTTTGCACACGCTAGGCCCTTGTTCTTGCAATTTTGCACATGCTAGACCCTTATTCTTTTTATTTTGCACACACTAGGTCCTTGCTCTTGCTATTTCGCGAACGCTAGGCCCTTGTTCTTGATTTTTTGCACACGCTAGGCCCTTTCTCTTGCTATTTTGCACTCGCTATGCCCTTGTTCTTGCAATTTTGCACACGCTAGGCCCTTGTTCTTGCAATTTTGCACACGCTAGGCCCTTGTTCTTTTTATTTTGCACACGCTAGGCCCTTGTTCTTTTTATTTTGCACATGCTAGGCCCTTGTTCTTGCTATTTTGCACACGCGATGCCCTTGTTCTTTTTATTTTGCACACGCTAGGCCCTTGTTCTTGCAATTTTGCACATGCTAGACCCTTGTTCTTTTTATTTTGCACAAGCTAGGCCCTTGCTCTTGCTATTTCGCGAATGCTAGGCCCTTGTTCTTGATTTTTTGCACACGCTAGACCCTTGCTCTTGTTATTTTGCACTCGCTAGGCCCTTGTTCTTGCAATTTTGCACACGCTAGGCCCTTGTTCCTGCAATTTTGCACACGCTAGGCCCTTGTTCTTTTTATTTTGCACACGCTAGGCCCTTGTTCTTTATATTTTGCACACGCTAGGCCCTTGTTCTTGCTATTTTTCACACGCTATGCCCTTGTTCTTTTTATTTTGCACACGCTAGGCCCTTGTTCTTGCAACTTTGCACATGCTAGACCCTTGTTCTTTTTATTTTCCACACGCTAGGCCCTTGTTCTTGCTATTTCGCGAACGCTAGGCCCTTGTTCTTTTTATTTTGCACACGCTAGGCCCTTGTTCTCCCTATTTCGCGAACGCTAGGCCCTTGTTCTTTTGTTTTTTGCACACGCTAGGCCCTTGTTCTTTTTATTTTGCACACGCTAGGCCCTGGTTCTTGCTATTTTGCACATGCTATGCCCTTGTTCTTGCAATTTTGCACACGCTAGGCCCTTGTTCTTTTTATTTTGCACATGCAATGCCCTTGTTCTTTTTATTTTGCACACGCTAGGCCCTTGTTCTTTTTATTTTGCACACGCTATGCCCTTGTTCTTGCTATTTTGCACACGCTATGCCCTTGTTCTTTTTTTTGGCACACGCTAGGCCCTTGTTGTTGCAATTTTGCACATGCTAGACCCTTGTTCTTTTTATTTTGCATACGCTATGCCCTAGTTCTTTTTATTTTGCACACGCTAGGCCCTTGTTCTTGCAATTTTGCACATGCTAGACCCTTGTTCTTTTTATTTTGCACACACTAGGCCCTTGCTCTTGCTATTTCGCGAACGCTAGGCCCTTGTTCTTGAATTTTTGCACACGCTAGGCCCTTGCTCTTGCTATTTTGCACTCGCTAGGCCCTTGTTCTTGCAATTTTGCACACGCTAGGCCCTTGTTCTTTCAATTTTGCACACGCTAGGCCCTTGTTCTTTTTTTTTTTGCACACGCTAGGCCCTTGTTCTTTTTATTTTGCACACGCTAGGCCCTTGTTCTTGCTATTTTGCACACGCTATGCCCTTGTTCTTTTTATTTTGCAAACGCTAGGCACTTGTTCTTGCAATTTTGCACATGCTAGATCCTTGTTATTTTTATTTTGCACACGCTAGGCCCTTGTTCTTTTTATTTTGCACACGCTAGGCCCTTGTTCTTGCTATTTTGCACACGCTATGCCCTTGTTTTTTTTTTTTTTGCACACGCTAGGCCCTTTTTCTTGCTATTTTGCACATGCTAGACCCCTGTTCTTTTTATTTTGCACACGCTAGGCCCTTGTTCTTTTTATTTTGCACACGCTAGGCCCTTGCTCTTGCTATTTTGCAATCGCTAGGCCCTTGTTCTTGCAATTTTGCACACGCTAGGCCCTTGTTCTTGCTATTTTGCATACGGTAGGCCCTTGTTCTTTTTATTTTGCACACGCTAGGTCCTTGTTCTTTTTATTTTGCATACGCTAGGCCCTTGTTCTTGCTATTTTGCACACGCTATGCCCTTGTTCTTTTTTTTTTGCACACGCTAGGCTCTTGTTCTTGCAATTTTGCACATGCTAGACCCTTGTTCTTTTTATTTTGCACACGCTAGGCCCTTGTTCTTGCTATTTCGCATACGCTATGCCCTAGTTCTTTTTATTTTGCACACGCTAGGCCCTTGTTCTTGCAATTTTGCACATGCTAGACCCTTGTTCTTTTTATTTTGCACACACTAGGTCCTTGCTCTTGCTATTTCGCGAACGCTAGGCCCTTGTTCTTGATTTTTTGCACACGCTAGGCCCTTTCTCTTGCTATTTTGCACTCGCTATGCCCTTGTTCTTGCAATTTTGCACACGCTAGGCCCTTGTTCTTTCAATCTTGCACACGCTAGGGCCCTTGTTCTTTTTATTTTGCACACGCTAGGCTCTTGTTCTTTTTATTTTGCACACGCTAGGCCCTTGTTCTTGCTATTTTGCACACGCTATGCCCTTGTTCTTTTAATTTTGCACACACTAGGCCCTTGTTCTTGCAATTTTGCACATGCTAGACCCTTGTTCTTTTTATTTTGCACACGCTAGGCCCTTGTTCTTATTATTTTGCACATGCTAGGCCCTTGTTCTTGCTATTTTGCACACGCTATGCCCTTGTTCTTTTTATTTTGCACACACTAGGCCCTTGTTCTTGCTATTTTGCACACGCTATGCCCTTGTTCTTTTTTTTTTGCACACGCTAGGCCCTTGTTCTTGCAATTTTGCACATGCTAGACCCTTGTTCTTTTTATTTTGCACACGCTAGGCCCTTATTCTTTTTATTTTGCACACGCTAGGCCCTTGTTCTTGCTATTTTGCATACGCTATGCCCTAGTTCTTTTTATTTTGCACACGCTATGCCCTTGTTCTTGCTATTTTGCACACGCTATGCCCTTGATCTTCTCCCAGATTCCATCTACTTCTCCCAGATTCCATCCCCTTCTCTTAGATTCCATCCCCTTCTCCCAGATTCTATCCCCTTCTCCCAGATTCCATCCCCTTCTCCCAGATTCCATCCCCTTCTCCCAGATTCCATCCCCTTCTCCCAGATTCCATCCCCTTCTCCCGGACTTCATCCCCTTCTCCCAGATTCCACCCCCTTCTCCCAAATTCCATCCCCTTCTTCCAGATTCCATCCCCTTCTCCCAGATTCCATCCCCTTCTCCCAGATTCCATCCCCTTCTCCCAGATTCCATCCCCTTCTCCCAGATTCCACCCCCTTCTCCCGGATTCCATCCCCTTCTCCCAGATTCCATCCCCTTCTCCCTGATTCCATCCCCTTCTCCTAGATTCCATCCCCTTCTCCCAGATTCTATCCTCTTCTCCCAGATTCCATCCCCTTCTCCCAGATTCCATCCCCTTCTCCAAGATTCCATCCCCTTCTCCCAGATTCCATCCCCTTCTCCCGGACTTCATCCCCTTCTCCCAGATTCCACCCCCTTCTCCCAAATTCCATCCCCTTCTCCTAGATTCCATCCCCTTCTCCCAGATTCCATCCCCTTCTCCCAGATTCCATCCCCTTCTCCCAGATTCCATCCCCTTCTCCTAGATTCCACCCCCTTCCCCCGGATTCCATCCCCTTCTCCCAGATTCCATCCCCTTCTCCCTGATTCCATCCCCTTCTCCTAGATTCCATCCCCTTCTCCCAGATTCTATCCCCTTCTCCCAGATTCTATCCCCTTCTCCCAGAATCCATCCCCTTCTCCCAGATTCCATCCCCTTCTCCCAGATTCCATCCCCTTCTCCCAAATTCCATCCCCTTCTCCCGGACTTCATCCCCTTCTCCCAGATTCCACCCCCTTCTCCCAAATTCCATCCCCTTCTCCCAGACTCCATCCCCTTCTCCCAGATTCCATCCCCTTCTCCCAGATTCCATCCCCTTCTCCCAGATTCCATCCCCTTCTCCCAAATTCCACCCCCTTCTCCCGGATTCCATCCCCTTCTCCCAGATTCCATCCCCTTCTTCCAGATTCCATCCCCTTCTCCTAGATTCCATCCCCTTCTCCCAGATTCTATCCCCTTCTCTCAGATTCCATCCCCTTCTCCCAGATTCCATCCCCTTCTCCAAGATTCCATCCGCATCTCCCAGATTCCATCCCCTTCTCCCGGACTTCATACCCTTCTTCCAGATTCCACCCCCTTCTCCCAAATTCCATCCCCTTCTCCCAGATTCTATCCTCTTCTCCCAGATTCCATCCCCTTCTCCCAGATTCCATCCCCTTCTCCAAGATTCCATCCCCTTCTCCCAGATTCCATCCCCTTCTCCCGGACTTCATCCCCTTCTCCCAGATTCCACCCCCTTCTCCCAAATTCCATCCCCTTCTCCTAGATTCCATCCCCTTCTCCCAGATTCCATCCCCTTCTCCCAGATTCCATCCCCTTCTCCCAGATTCCATCCCCTTCTCCTAGATTCCACCCCCTTCCCCCGGATTCCATCCCCTTCTCCCAGATTCCATCCCCTTCTCCCTGATTCCATCCCCTTCTCCTAGATTCCATCCCCTTCTCCCAAATTCTATCCCCTTCTCCCAGATTCTATCCCCTTCTCCCAGAATCCATCCCCTTCTCCCAGATTCCATCCCCTTCTCCCAGATTCCATCCCCTTCTCCCAAATTCCATCCCCTTCTCCCGGACTTCATCCCCTTCTCCCAGATTCCACCCCCTTCTCCCAAATTCCATCCCCTTCTCCCAGACTCCATCCCCTTCTCCCAGATTCCATCCCCTTCTCCCAGATTCCATCCCCTTCTCCCAGATTCCATCCCCTTCTCCCAAATTCCACCCCCTTCTCCCGGATTCCATCCCCTTCTCCCAGATTCCATCCCCTTCTTCCAGATTCCATCCCCTTCTCCTAGATTCCATCCCCTTCTCCCAGATTCTATCCCCTTCTCTCAGATTCCATCCCCTTCTCCCAGATTCCATCCCCTTCTCCAAGATTCCATCCGCTTCTCCCAGATTCCATCCCCTTCTCCCGGACTTCATACCCTTCTTCCAGATTCCACCCCCTTCTCCCAAATTCCATCCCCTTCTCCCAGATTCCATCCCCTTCTCCCAGATTCCATCCCCTTCTCCCTGATTCCATCCCCATCTCCCAGATTCCATCCCCTTCTCCTAGATTCCACCCCCTTCCCCCGGATGCCATCCCCTTCTCCCAGATTCCATCCCCTTCTCCCTGATTCCATCCCCTTCTCCTAGATTCCATCCCCTTCTCCCAGATTCTATCCCCTTCTCCCAGATTCCATCCCCTTCTCCCAGATTCCATCCTCTTCTCCCACATTCCATCCCCTTCTCCCAGATTCCATCCCCTTCTCTCAAATTCCATCACATTCTCCCAGATTCCATCCCCTTCTCCCCGATTCCATCCCCTTCTCCTAGATTCCATCCCCTTCTCCTAGATTCCATCCCCTTCTCCCAGATTCCATCCCCTTCTCCCAGATTCCATCCCCTTCTCCCAGATTCCATCCCCTTCTTCCAGATTCCATCCCCTTCACCCAGATTCCATCCCCTTCTCCCTGATTCGATCCTCTTCTCCCAGATTTCATCCTTTTCTCCCAGATTCTATACCCTTCTCCCAGATTCCATCCCCTTCTCCCAGATTCCATCCCCTTCTCCCAGATTCCATCCCCTTCTCCCAAATTCCATCACATTCTCCCAGATTCCATCCCCTTCTCCCCGATTCCATCCCCTTCTCCTAGATTCCATCCCCTTCTCCCAGATTCCATCCCCTTCTCCCAGATTCCATCCCCTTCTCCCAGATTCCATCCCCTTCTCCCAGATTCCATCCCCTTCTCCCAGATTCCATCCCCTTCTCCCAGATTCCATCCCGTTCTCCCAGATTCCATCCCCTTCTCCCAGATTCCATCCCCTTCTCCCAGATTCCATCCCCTTCTCCCTGATTCGATCCCCTTCTCCCAGATTCCATCCCCGTCTCCCTGATTCCATCCCCTTCTCCCAGATTCCATCCCCTTCTCCCAGATTCCATCCCCTTCTTCCAGATTCCATCCCCTTCTACCAGATTCCATCCCCTTCTTCCAGATTCCATCCCCTTCTCCCAGATTCCATCCCCTTCTCCCAGATTCCATCCCCTTCTCCCAGATTCCATCCCCTTCTCCCAGATTCCATCACATTCTCCCAGATTCCATCCCCTTCTCCCCGATTCCATCCCCTTCTCCTAGATTCCATCCCCTTCTCCCAGATTCCATCCCCTTCTCCCAGATTCCATCCCCGTCTCCCAGATTCCATCCCCTTTTCCCAGATTCCATCCCCTTCTCCCACATTTCATCCCCTTCTCCCTCATTCCATCTCCTTCTCCCATATTCCACCCCCTTCTTCCTGATTCCATCCCCTTCTCCCAGATTCCATCCCCTTCTCTCAAATTCCATCCCCTTCTCCCAGATTCCATCCCCTTCTCCCAGATTCCATCCCCTTCTCCCATATTCCATCCCCTTCTCCCAGATTCCATCCCCTTCTCCCTCATTCCATCCCCTTCTCTCAGATTCCATCCCTTTTTTACAGATTCCATCCCCTTCTCCGAGATTCCATCCCCTTCTCCCAGATTCCATCCCCTTCTCCCTGATTCCATCCCCTTCTCCCCGATTCCATCCCCTTCTCCCAGATTCTATCCACTTCTTCCATATTCCATCCCCTTCTCCCAGATTCCATCCCCTTCTCCCAGATTCCATCCCCTTCTTCTAGATTCCATCCCCTTCTGCCAGATTCCATCCCCTTCTCTCAGATTCCATCCCCTTCTCCCAGATTCCATCCCCTTCTCCCGGATTCCATCCCCTTCTGCCAGATTCCATCCCCTTCTCCCAAATTCCATCCCCTTCTCCAAGATTCCATCCCCTTCTCCCAGATTCCATCCCCTTCTCCCAGATTCCATCCCCTTCTCCCAGATTCCATCCCCTTCTCCCAGATTCCATCTCCTTCTCCCTGATTCGATCCCCTTCTCCCAGATTCCATCCCCGTCTCCCAGATTCCATCCCCTTCTCCCAGATTCCATCCCCTTCTCCCAGATTCCATCCCCTTCTTCCAGATTCCATCCCCTTCTGCCAGATTCCATCCCCTTCTCCCAGATTCCATCCCCTTCTCCCAGATTCCATCCCCTTCTCCCAGATTCCATCCCCTTCTCCCAGATTCCATCCCGTTCTCCCAGATTCCATCCCCTTCTCCCAGATTCCATCCCCTTCTCCCAAATTCCATCCCCTTCTCCCTGATTCGATCCCCTTCTCCCAGATTCCATCCCCGTCTCCCTGATTCCATCCCCTTCTCCCAGATTCCATCCCCTTCTCCCAGATTCCATCCCCTTCTTCCAGATTCCATCCCCTTCTACCAGATTCCATCCCCTTCTCCCAGATTCCATCCCCTTCTCCCAGATTCCATCCCCTTCTCCCGGATTCCATCCCCTTCTGCCATATTCCATCCCCTTCTCCCAGATTCTATCCCCTTCTCCCGGACTTCATCCCCTTCTCCCAGATTCCACCCCCTTCTCCCAAATTCCATCCCCTTCTCCCAGATTCCATCCCCTTCTCCCAGATTCCATCCCCTTCTCCCAAATTCCATCCCCTTCTCCCAGATTCCATCCCCTTCTCCCAGATTCCACCCCCTTCTCCCGGATTCCATCCCCTTCTCCCAGATTCCATCCCCTTCTCCCTGATTCCATCCCCTTCTCCTAGATTCCATCCCCTTCTCCCAGATTCTATCCCCTTCTCCCAGATTCCATCCCTTCTCCCAGATTCCATCCCCTTCTCCAAGATTCCATCCCCTTCTCCCAGATTCCATCCCCTTCTCCCGGACTTCATCCCCTTCTCCCAGATTCCACCCCCTTCTCCCAAATTCCATCCCCTTCTCCCAGATTCCATCCCCTTCTCCCAGATTCCATCCCCTTCTCCCAAATTCCATCCCCTTCTCCCAGATTCCATCCCCTTCTCCTAGATTCCACCCCCTTCCCCCGGATTCCATCCCCTTCTCCCAGATTCCATCCCCTTCTCCCTGATTCCATCCCCTTCTCCTAGATTCCATCCCCTTCTCCCAGATTCTATCCCCTTCTCCCAGATTCCATCCCCTTCTCCCAGATTCTATCCCCTTCTCCCACATTCCATCCCCTTCTCTCAGATTCCATCCCCTTCTCCCGGACTTCATCCCCTTCTCCCGGACTTCATCCCCTTCTCCCAGATTCCACCCCCTTCTCCCCAATTCTATCCCCTTCTCCCAGATTCCATCCCCTTCTCCCAGATTCCATCCCCTTCTCCCAGATTCCATCCCCTTCTCCCAAATTCCATCCCCTTCTCCCAGATTTCATCCTTTTCTCCCAGATTCTATACCGTTCTCCCAGATTCCATCCCCTTCTCCCAGATTCCGTCCCCTTCTCCCCGATTTCATCCCCTTCTCCTAGATTCCATCCCCTTCTCCCAGATTCCATCCCCTTCTCCCAGATTCCATCCCCGTCTCCCAGATTCCATCCCCTTTTCCCAGATTCCATCCCCTTCTCCCAGATTCCATCCCCTTCACCCTCATTCCATCTCCTTCTCCCAGATTCCACCCCCTTCTTCCAGATTCCATCCCCTTCTCCCAGATTCCATCCCCTTCTCTCAAATTCCATCCCCTTCTTCCAGATTCCATCCCCTTCTCCCAGATTCCATCCCCTTCTCCCATATTCCATCCCCTTCTCCCAGATTCCATCCCCTTCTCCCTCATTCCATCCCCTTCTCTCAGATTCCATCCCTTTTTTACAGATTCCATCCCCTTCTCCGAGATTCCATCCCCTTCTCCCTGATTTCATCCCCTTCTCCCTGATTCCATCCCCTTCTCCCCGATTCCATCCCCTTCTCCCAGATTCCATCCCCTTCTTCCATATTCCATCCCCTTCTCCCAAATTCCATCCCCTTCTCCCAGATTCCATCCCCTTCTTCCAGATTCCATCCCCTTCTGTCAGATTCCATCCCCTTCTCCCAGATTCCATCCCCTTCTCCCTGATTCCATCCCCTTCTCCCGGATTCCATCCCCTTCTGCCAGATTCCATCCCCTTCTCCCAAATTCCATCCCCTTCTCCCAGATTCCATCCCCTTCTCCCAGATTCCATCCCCTTCTCCCAGATTCCATCCCCTTCTCCTAGATTCCATCCCCTTCTCCCAGATACCATCCCCTTCTCTCAAATTCCATCCCCTTCTTCCAGATTCCATCCCCTTCTCCCAGATTCCATCCCCTTCTCCCATATTCCATCCCCTTCTCCCAGATTCCATCCCCTTCTCCCTCATTCCATCCCCTTCTCTCAGATTCCATCCCTTTTTTACAGATTCCATCCCCTTCTCCGAGATTCCATCCCCTTCTCCCAGATTCCATCCCCTTCTCCCTGATTCCATCCCCTTCTCCCCGATTCCATCCCCTTCTCCCAGATTCCATCCCCTTCTTCCATATTCCATCCCATTCTCCCAGATTCCATCCCCTTCTCCCAGATTCCATCCCCTTCTTCCAGATTCCATCCCCTTCTGCCAGATTCCATCCCCTTCTCCCAGATTCCATCCCCTTCTCCCTGATTCCATCCCCTTCTCCCGGATTCCATCCCCTTCTGCCAGATTCCATCCCCTTCTCCCAAATTCCATCCCCTTCTCCCAGATTCCATACCCTTCTCCCAGATTCCATCCCCTTCTCCTAGATTCCATCCCCTTCTCCTAGATTCCATCCCCTTCTCCCAGATTCCATCCCCTTCTCCCTGCTTCGATCCCCTTCTCCCAGATTCCATCCCCGTCTCCCAGATTCCATCCCCTTCTCCCAGATTCCATCCCCTTCTCCCAGATTCCATCCCCTTCTTCCAGATTCCATCCCCTTCTGCCACATTCCATCCCCTTCTGCCAGATTCCATCCCCTTCTCCCAGATTCCATCCCCTTCTCCCAGATTCCATCCCCTTCTCCCAGATTCCATCCCCTTCTCCCAGATTCCATCCCCTTCTCCCAGATTCCATCCCCTTCTCCCAGATTCCATCCCCTTCTCCCAGATTCCATCCCCTTCTCCCTGATTCGATCCCCTTCTCCCAGATTCTATCCCCGTCTCCCTTTTTCCATCCCCTTCTCCCAGATTCCATCCCCTTCTCCCAGATTCCATCCCCTTCTTCCAGATTCCATCCCCTTCTGCCAGATTCCATCCCCTTCTCCCAGATTCCATCCCCTTCTCCCAAATTCCATCTCCTTCTCCCGGATTCCATCCCCTTCTGCCAGATTCCATCCCCTTCTCCCTGATTCCATCCCCTTCTCCCAGATTCCATCCCCTTCTCCCAGATTCCATCCCCTTCTCCCAGATTCCATCCCCTTCTCCCTGATTCGATCCCCTTCTCCCAGATTCCATCCCCGTCTCCCAGATTCCATCCCCTTCTCCCAGATTCCATCCCCTTCTCCCAGATTCCATCCCCTTGTCCCTCATTCCATCTCCTTCTCCCAGATTCCATCCCCTTCTCCCTGATTCCATCCCCTTCTCCCTGATTCCATCCCCTTCTCCCCGATTCCATCCCCTTCTCCCAGATTCCATCCCCTTCTTCCATATTCCATCCCCTTCTCCCAGATTCCATCCCCTTCTCCCAGATTCCATCCCCTTCTTCCAGATTCCATCCCCTTCTGCCAGATTCCATCCCCTTATCCCAGATTCCATCCCCTTCTCCCTGATTCTATCCCCTTCTCCCGGATTCCATCCCCTTCTCCCAGATTCCATCCCGTTGTCCCACATTCCATCCCCTTCTCCCAGATTCCATCCCCTTGTCCCTCATTCCATCGCCTTCTCCCAGATTCCATCCCCTTCTCCCTGATTCCATCCCCTTCTCCCTGATTCCATCCCCTTCTCCCCGATTCCATCCCCTTCTCCGAGATTCCATCCCCTTCTTCCATATTGCATCCCCTTCTCCCAGATTCCATCCCCTTCTCCCAGATTCCATCCCCTTCTTCCAGATTCCATCCCCTTCTGCCAGATTCCATCCCCTTATCCCATATTCCATCCCCTTCTCCCAGATTCCATCCCCTTCTCCTGGATTCCATCCCCTTCTGCCAGATTCCATCCCCTTCTCCCAAATTCCATCCCCTTCTCCCAGATTCCATCCCCTTCTCCCAGATTCCATCCCCTTCTCCCAGATTCCATCCCCTTCTCCCAGATTCCATCCCCTTCTCCCAGATTCCATCCCCTTCTCCCGGACTTCATCCCCTTCTCCCGGACTTCATCCCCTTCTCCCAGATTCCACCCCCTTCCCCCCAATTCCATCCCCTTCTCCCAGATTCCATCCCCTTCTCCCAGATTCCATCCCCTTCTCCCAGATTCCATCCTCTTCTCCCAAATTCCATCCCCTTCTCCCAGATTTCATCTTTTTCTCCCAGATTCTATACCCTTCTCCCAGATTCCATCCCCTTCTCCCAGATTCCGTCCCCTTCTCCCCGATTTCATCCCCTTCTCCTAGATTCCATCCCCTTCTCCCAGATTCCATCCCCTTCTCCCAGATTCCATCCCCGTCTCCCAGATTCCATCCCCTTTTCCCAGATTCCATCCCCTTCTCCCGGATTCCATCCCCTTCACCCTCATTCCATCTCCTTCTCCCAGATTCCACCCCCTTCTTCCAGATTCCATCCCCTTCTCCCAGATTCCATCCCCTTCTCTCAAATTCCATCCCCTTCTTCCAGATTCCATCCCCTTCTCCCAGATTCCATCCCCTTCTCCCATATTCCATCCCCTTCTCCCATATTCCATCCCCTTCTCCCTCATTCCATCCCCTTCTCTCAGATTCCATCCCTTTTTTACAGATTCCATCCCCTTCTCCGAGATTCCATCCCCTTCTCCCAGATTTCATCCCCTTCTCCCTGATTCCATCCCCTTCTCCCCGATTCCATCCTCTTCTCCCAGATTCCATCCCCTTCTTCCATATTCCATCCCCTTCTCCCAGATTCCATCCCCTTCTCCCAGATTCCATCCCCTTCTTCCAGATTCCATCCCCTTCTGTCAGATTCCATCCCCTTCTCCCAGATTCCATCCCCTTCTCCCTGATTCCATCCCCTTCTCCCGGATTCCATCCCCTTCTGCCAGATTCCATCCCCTTCTCCCAAATTCCATCCCCTTCTCCCAGATTCCATCCCCTTCTCCCAGATTCCATCCCCTTCTCCCAGATTCCATCCCCTTCTCCTAGATTCCATCCCCTTCTCCCAGATACCATCCCCTTCTCTCAAATTCCATCCCCTTCTTCCAGATTCCATCCCCTTCTCCCAGATTCCATCCCCTTCTCCCATATTCCATCCCCTTCTCCCAGATTCCATCCCCTTCTCCCTCATTCCATCCCCTTCTCTCAGATTCCATCCCTTTTTTACAGATTCCATCCCCTTCTCCGAGATTCCATCCCCTTCTCCCAGATTCCATCCCCTTCTCCCTGATTCCATCCCCTTCTCCCCGATTCCATCCCCTTCTCCCAGATTCCATCCCCTTCTTCCATATTCCATCCCATTCTCCCAGATTCCATCCCCTTCTCCCAGATTCCATCCCCTTCTTCCAGATTCCATCCCCTTCTGCCAGATTCCATCCCCTTCTCCCAGATTCCATCCCCTTCTCCCTGATTCCATCCCCTTCTCCCGGATTCCATCCCCTTCTGCCAGATTCCATCCCCTTCTCCCAAATTCCATCCCCTTCTCCCAGATTCCATACCCTTCTCCCAGATTCCATCCCCTTCTCCTAGATTCCATCCCCTTCTCCTAGATTCCATCCCCTTCTCGCAGATTCCATCCCCTTCTCCCTGATTCGATCCCCTTCTCCCAGATTCCATCCCTGTCTCCCAGATTCCATCCCCTTCTCCCAGATTCCATCCCCTTCTCCCAGATTCCATCCCCTTCTTCCAGATTCCATCCCCTTCTGCCACATTCCATCCCCTTCTGCCAGATTCCATCCCCTTCTCCCAGATTCCATCCCCTTCTCCCAGATTCCATCCCCTTCTCCCAGATTCCATCCCCTTCTCCCAGATTCCATCCCCTTCTCCCAGATTCCATCCCCTTCTCTCAGATTCCATCCCCTTCTCCCAGATTCCATCCCCTTCTCCCTGATTCGATCCCCTTCTCCCAGATTCCATCCCCGTCTCCCTTTTTCCATCCCCTTCTCCCAGATTCCATCCCCTTCTCCCAGATTCCATCCCCTTCTTCCAGATTCCATCCCCTTCTGCTAGATTCCATCCCCTTCTCCCAGATTCCATCCCCTTCTCCCAAATTCCATCCCCTTCTCCCGGATTCCATCCCCTTCTGCCAGATTCCATCCCCTTCTCCCAGATTCCATCCCCTTCTCCCAGATTCCATCCCCTTCTCCCAGATTCCATCCCCTTCTCCCAGATTCCATCCCCTTCTCCCAGATTCCATCCCCTTCTCCCAGATTCCATCCCCTTCTCCCTGATTCCATCCCCTTCTCCCAGATTCCATCCCCTTCTCCCAGATTCCATCCCCTTCTCCCTGATTCGATCCCCTTCTCCCAGATTCCATCCCCGTCTCCCAGATTCCATCCCCTTCTCCCAGATTCCATCCCCTTCTCCCAGATTCCATCCCCTTGTCCCTCATTCCATCTCCTTCTCCCAGATTCCATCCCCTTCTCCCTGATTCCATCCCCTTCTCCCTGATTCCATCCCCTTCTCCCCGATTCCATCCCCTTCTCCCAGATTCCATCCCCTTCTTCCATATTCCATCCCCTTCTCCCAGATTCCATCCCCTTCTCCCAGATTCCATCCCCTTCTTCCAGATTCCATCCCCTTCTGCCAGATTCCATCCCCTTATCCCAGATTCCATCCCCTTCTCCCTGATTCCATCCCCTTCTCCCGGATTCCATCCCCTTCTCCCAGATTCCATCCCCTTGTCCCAGATTCCATCCCCTTCTCCCAGATTCCATCCCCTTGTCCCTCATTCCATCTCCTTCTCCCAGATTCCATCCCCTTCTCCCTGATTCCATCCCCTTCTCCCTGATTCCATCCCCTTCTCCCCGATTCCATCCCCTTCTCCCAGATTCCATCCCCTTCTTCCATATTGCATCCCCTTCTCCCAGATTCCATCCCCTTCTCCCAGATTCCATCCCCTTCTTCCAGATTCCATCCCCTTCTGCTAGATTCCATCCCCTTATCCCATATTCCATCCCCTTCTCCCAGATTCCATCCCCTTCTCCTGGATTCCATCCCCTTCTGCCAGATTCCATCCCCTTCTCCCAAATTCCATCCCCTTCTCCCAGATTCCATCCCCTTCTCCCAGATTCCATCCCCTTCTCCCAGATTCCATCCCCTTCTCCCAGATTCCATCCCCTTCTCCCAGATTCCATCCCCTTCTCCCAAATTCCATCCCCTTCTCCCATATTTCATCCTTTTCTCCCAGATTCTATACCCTTCTCCCAGATTCCATCCCCTTCTCCCACATTCCATCCCCTTCTCACAGATTCCATCTCCTTCTCCGGGACTTCATCTCCTTCTCCCGGACTTCATCCCCTTCTCCTAGATTCCACCCCCTTCTCCCAAATTCCATCCCCTTCTCCCAGATTCCATCCCCTTCTCCCAGATTCCATCCCCTTCTCCCAGATTCCATCCCCTCCTCCCAAATTCCATCCCCTTCTCCCAGCTTTCATCCTTTTCTCCGAGATTCTATACCCTTCTCCCAGATTCCATCCCCTTCTCCCAGATTCCGTCCCCTTCTCCCAGATTCCATCCCCTTCTCCCAGATTCCATCACATTCTCCCAGATTCCATCCCCTTCTCCTCGATTTCATCCCCTTCTCCTAGATTCCATCCCCTTCTCCCAGATTCCATCCCCTTCTCCCATATTCCATCCCCGTCTCCCAGATTCCATCCCCTTTTCCCAGATTCCATCCCCTTCTCCTAGATTCCATCCCCTTCTCCCTCATTCCATCTCCTTCTCCCAGATTCCACCCCCTTCTTCCAGATTCCATCCCCTTCTCCCAGATTCCATCCCCTCCTCTCAAATTCCATCCCCTTCTTCCAGATTCCATCCCCTTCTCCCAGATTCCATCCCCTTCTCCCATATTCCATCCCCTTCTCCCAAATTCCATCCCCTTCTCCCTCATTCCATCCCCTTCTCTCAGATTCCATCCCTTTTTTACAGATTCCATCCCCTTCTCTGAGATTCCATCCCCTTCTCCCAGATTCCATCCCCTTCTCCCTGATTCCATCCCCTTCTCCCCGATTCCATCCCCTTCTCCGAGATTCCATCCCCTTCTTCCATATTCCATCCCCTTCTCCCAGATTCCATCCCCTTCTCCCAGATTCCATCCCCTTCTTCCAGATTCCATCCCCTTCTGCCAGATTCCATCCCCTTCTCCCAAATTCCATCCCCTTCTCCCAGATTCCATCCCCTTCTACCAGATTCCATCCCCTTCTCCCAGATTCCATCCCCTTCTCCTAGATTCCATCCCCTTCTCCCAGATTCCATCCCCTTCTCCCAGATTCCATCCCCTTCTCCTAGATTCCATCCCCTTCTCCCAGATTCCATCCCCTTCTCCCTGATTCCATCCCCTTCTCCCAGATTCCATCCCCTTCTCCCAGATTCCATCCCCTTCTCCCAGATTCCATCCCCTTCTCCCAGATTCCATCCCCTTCTCCCAGATTCCATCCCCTTCTCCCTGATTCAATCCCCTTCTCCGAGATTCCATCCCCGTCTCCCAGATTCCATCCCCTTCTCCCAGATTCCATCCCCTTCTCCCAGATTCCATCCCCTTGTCCCTCATTCCATCTCCTTCTCCCAGATTCCATCCCCTTCTCCCTGATTCCATCCCCTTCTCCCTGATTCCATCCCCTTCTCCCCGATTCCATCCCCTTCTCCCAGATTCCATCCCCTTCTTCCATATTCCATCCCCTTCTCCCAGATTCCATCCCCTTCTCCCAGATTCCATCCCCTTCTTCCAGATTCCATCCCCTTCTGCTAGATTCCATCCCCTTATCCCAGATTCCATCCCCTTCTTCCAGATTCCATCCCCTTCTCCCGGATTCCATCCCCTTCTCCCAGATTCCATCCCCTTCTCCCAGATTCCATCCCCTTCTCCCAGATTCCATCCCCTTGTCCCTCATTCCATCTCCTTCTCCCAGATTCCATCCCCTTCTCCCTGGTTCCATCCCCTTCTCCCTGATTCCATCCCCTTCTCCCCGATTCCATCCCCTTCTCCCAGATTCCATCCCCTTCTTCCATATTGCATCCCCTTCTCCCAGATTCCATCCCCTTCTCCCAGATTCCATCCCCTTCTTCCAGATTCCATCCCCTTCTGCCAGATTCCATCCCCTTATCCCAGATTCCATCCCCTTCTCCCAGATTCCATCCCCTTCTCCTGGATTCCATCCCCTTCTGCCAGATTCCATCCCCTTCTCCCAAATTCCATCCCCTTCTCCCAGATTCCATCCCCTTCTCCCAGATTCCATCCCCTTCTCCCAGATTCCATCCCCTTCTCCCAGATTCCATCCCCTTCTCCCAGATTCCATCCCCTTCTCCCTGATTCGATCCCCTTCTCCCAGATTCCATCCCCGTCTCCCAAATTCCATCCCCTTCTCCCAGATTCCATCCCCTTCTCCCAGGTTCCATCCCCTTCTCCCTCATTCCATCTCCTTCACCCAGATTCCACCCCCTTCTTCCATATTCCATCTTCTTCTCCCAGATTCCATCCCCTTCTCTCAAATTCCATCCCCTTCTCCCTGATTCGATCCCCTTCTCCCAGATTCCATCCCCTTCTCCCAGATTCCATCCCCTTCTCCCATATTCCATCCCCTTCTCCCAGATTCCATCCCCTTCTCCCAGATTCCATCCCCTTCTCCCAGATTCCATCCCCTTCTCCCAGATTCCACCCCCTTGTCCCAGATTCCATCCCCTTCTCCCAGATTCCATCCCCTTCTCCCTGATTCCATCCCCTTCTTCCCGATTCCATCCCCTTCTCCCAGATTCCATCCCCTTCTCCCAGATTCCATCCCCTTCTTCCAGATTCCATCCCCTTCTTCCAGATTCCATCCCCTTCTGCCAGATTCCATCCCCTTCTTCCAGATTTTATCCCCTCCTCCCAAATTCCATCCCCTTCTCCCTCATTCCATCCCCTTCTCCCAGATTCCATCCCTTTCTCCCAGATTCCATCCCGCCCTCCCAGACTCCATCCCCTTCTCCCAAAATCCATCCCCTTCTCCTAAATTCTATCCCCTTCTCCCAGATTCCATCCCTTTCCCCCTCATTCCATCTCCTTCTCCCAGACGCCACCCCCTTCTTCCAGATTCCATCCCCTTCTGCCAGATTCCATTCCCTTTTCCCAAATTCCATCCCCTTCTCTTAGACTCCATCCCCTTCTCCCAGATTCCATCCCCTTCTCCCAGATTCCATCCCCTTCTCCCAGATTCCATCCCCTTCTCCGAGATTCCATCCCCTTCTCCCTGATTCCATCCCCTTCTCCCCGATTCCATCCCCTTCTCCCTCATTCCATCCCCTTCTCCCAGATTCCACCCCCTTCTTCCTGATTCGATCCCCTTCTCCCAGATTCCATCCCCTTCTCCCAAATTCCATCCCCTTCTTCCACATTCCATCCACTTCTCCCAGATTCCATCCCCTTCTCCCAGATTCCATCCCCTTCTCCCAGATTCCATCCCCTTCTCCCATATTCCATCCCCTTCTCCGAGATTCCATCCCCTTCTCCCATATTCCATCCCCTTCTCCCAGATTCCATCCCCTTCTCCCAGATTCCATCCCTTTCTCAAAGATTCCACCCCCTTCTCCCAGAGTCCATCCCCTTCTCCCAGATTCCATCCCCTTCTCCCAGATTCCATCCCCTTCTCCCAGATTCCATCCCCTTCTCCCATATTCCATCCCCTTCTCCGAGATTCCATCCCCTTCTCCCAGATTCTATCCCCTTCTCCCAGATTCCATCCCCTTCTCCCAGATTCCATCCCCTTCTCCCTGATTCCATCCCCTTCTCCTTTATTCCATCCCCTTCTCCCACATTCCATCCCCTTCTCCCAGATTCCATCCCCTTCTCCCATATTCCATCCCCTTCTCCCAGATTCCATCCCTTTCTCCCAGATTCCATCCCTTTCTCCCTGATTCCATCCCCTTTTTCCACATTCCATCCCCTTCTACCAGATTCCATCCTTTTCTCCCATATTCCATCCCCTTCTCCCAGATTCCATCCCCTTCTCCCTGATTCCATCCCCTTCTCCCAGATTCCATCCCCTTCTCCCAGATTCCATCCCCTTCTCCCAGATTCCATCCCCTTCTCCCATATTCCATCCCCTTCTCCCAGATTCCATCCCCTTCTCCCAGATTCCATCCCCTTCTCCCAGATTCCATCCCTTTCTCTCAGATTCCACCCCCTTCTCCCAGAGTCCATCCCCTTCTCCCAGATTCCATCCCCTTCTCCCAGATTCCATCCCCTTCTCCCAGATTCCATCCCCTTCTCCCATATTCCATCCCCTTCTCCCAGATTCCATCCCCTTCTCCCAGATTCTATCCCCTTCTCCCAGATTCCATCCCCTTCTCCCAGATTCCATCCCCTTCTCCCTGATTCCATCCCCTTCTCCTTGATTCCATCCCCTTCTCCCACATTCCATCCCCTTCTCCCAGATTCCATCCCCTTCTCCCATATTCCATCCCCTTCTCCCAGATTCCATCCCTTTCTCCCAGATTCCATCCCTTTCTCCCTGATTCCATCCCCTTTTTCCAGATTCCATCCCCTTCTACCAGATTCCATCCTTTTCTCCCAGATTCCATCCCCTTCTCCCAGATTCCATCCCCTTCTCCCATATTCCATCCCCTTCTCTCAGATTCCATCCCGCCCTCCCAGACTCCATCCCCTTCTCCTAGATTCCATTCCCTTCTCCCAGATTCCATCCCCTTCTCCCCGATTCCATCCCCTTCTCCCTCATTCCATCTCCTTCTCCCAGATTCCACCACCTTCTTCTAGATTCCATCCCCTTCTCCCCGATTCCATCCCCTTCTCCCAAATTCCATCCCCTTCTCCCAGATTCCATCCCCTTCTCCCAGATTCCATCCCCTTCTCCCTGATGCCATCCCCTTCGCCCAGATTCCATCCCCTTCTCCCCGATTCCATCCCCTTCTCCCTCATTCCATCCCCTTCTCCCAAATTCCATCCCCTTCTCCCAGATTCCATCGCGCCCTCCAAGACTCAATCCCCTTCTCCCAGATTCCATCCCCTTCTCCCAGTTTCCATCCCCTTCTCCCAGATTCCATCCCCTTCTCACAGATTCCATCCCCTTCTGCTAGATTCCATCCCCTTCTCCCAGATTCCATCCCCTTCTCCCAGATTCCATCCCCTTCTCCCAGATTCTATCCCCTTCTCTCAGATTCTATCCCCTTCTCCCTGATTCCATCCCCTTCTCCTAGATTCCATCACCTTCTCCCAGATTCTATCCCCTTCTCCCAGATTCCATTTCCTTATCCCATATTCCATCCCCTTCTCCCAGATTCCATCCCCTTCTCCCAGATTCCATCCCCTTCTCCCTGATTCCATCCCCTTCTCCCAAATTCCATCCCCTTCTCCCAGATTCCATCCCCTTCTCCCAGATTCCATCCCCTTCTCCCAGATTCCATCCCCTTCTCCCTGATTCCATCCCCTTTTGCAAGATTCCATCCCCTTCTCTCTCATTCTATCCCCTTCTCCCAGATTCCATCCCGCCCTCCCAGACCCCATCCCCTTCTCCCAGATTCCATCCCCTTCTCCCAGATTCCATCCCCTTCTCCCAGATTCCATCTCCTTCTCCCTCATTCCATCTCCTTCTCCCAGATTCCACCCCCTTCTTCCAGATTCCATCTCCTTCTCCCAGATTCCATCCCCTTCTCACAAATTCCATCCCCTTCTCCCAGATTCCATCCCCTTCTCCCAGATTCCATCCCCTTCTCCCAGATTCCATCCCCTTCTCCCAGATTCCATCCCCTTCTCCCAGATTCCATCCCCTTCTCCCTGATTCGATCCCCTTCTCCCAGATTCCATCCCCTTCTCCCAGATTCAATCCCCTTCTCCCAGATTCCATCCCCTTCTCCCTGATTCCATCCCCTTCTCCCCGATTCCATCCCCTTCTCCCTCATTCCATCCCCTTCTCCTAGATTTCACCCCCTTCTTCCTGATTCCATCCCCTTCTTCCACATTCCATCCCCTTCTCCCAGATTCCATCCCCTTCTTCCACATTCCATCCACTTCTCCCAGATTCCATCCCCTTCTCCCAGATTCCATCCCCTTCTCCCAGATTCCATCCCCTTCTCCCAGATTCCATCCCCTTCTCCCAGATTCCATCCCCTTCTCCCATATTCCATCCCCTTCTCCCAGATTCCATCCCCTTCTCCCAGATTCCATCCCCTTCTCCCAGATTCCATCCCCTTCTCCCAGATTCCATCCCCTTCTCCCAGATTCCATCCCCTTCTCCCAGAGTCCATCCCTTTCTCCCAGATTCCATCCCCTTCTCCCAGATTCTATCCCCTTCTCCCAGATTCCATCCCCTTCTCCCACATTCCATCCCCTTCTCCCTGATTCCATCCCCTTCTCCGAGATTCCATCTCCTTCTCCCACATTCCATCCCCTTCTCCCAGATTCCATCCCCTTCTCCCATATTCCATCCCCTTCTCCCAGATTCCATCCCTTTCTCCCAGATTCCATCCCTTTCTCCCTGATTCCATCCCCTTTTTCCAGATTCCATCCCCTTCTACTAGATTCCATCCTTTTCTCCCAGATTCCATCCCCTTCTCCCAGATTCCATCCCCTTCTCCCAGATTCCATCCCCTTCTCCCAGATTCCATCCCGCCCTCCCAGACTCCATCCCCCACTCCTAGATTCCATTCCCTTCTCCCAGATTCCATCCCCTTCTCCCCGATTCCATCCCCTTCTCCCTCATTCCATCTCCTTCTCCCAGATTCCACCACCTTCTTCCAGATTCCATCCCCTTCTCCCCGATTCCATCCCCTTCTCCCAAATTCCATCCCCTTCTCCCATATTCCATCCCCTTCTCCCATATTCCATCCCCTTCTCCCTGATTCCATCCCCTTCGCCCAGATTCCATCCCCTTCTCTCCGATTCCATCCCCTTCTCCCTCATTCCATCCCCTTCTCCCAAACTCCATCCCCTTCTCCGAGATTCCATCGCGCCCTCCCAGACTAAATCCCCTTCTCCCAGATTCCATCCCCTTCTCCCAGATTCCATCCCCTTCTCCCAGATTCCATCCCCTTCTCACAGATTCCATCCCCTTCTCCTAGATTCCATCCCCTTCTCCCAAATTCCATCCCCTTCTCCCAGATTCCATCCCCTTCTCCCAGATTCTATCCCCTTCTCTCAGATTCTCTCCCCTTCTCCCTGATTCCATCCCCTTCTCCTAGATTCCATCCCCTTCTCCCAGATTCTATCCCCTTCTCCCAGATTCCATTTCCTTCTCACATATTCCATCCCCTTCTCCCAGATTCCATCCCCTTCTCTCTGATTTGATCCGCTTCTCCCAGATTCCATCCCCTTCTCCCAGATTCCATCCCCTTCTCCTAGATTCCATCCCCTTCTCCCCGATTCCATCCCCTTCTCCCAGATTCCATCCCCTTCTCCCAGATTCCATCCCCTTTTGCCAGATTCCATCCCCTTCTCCCTCATTCTATCCCCTTCTCCCAGATTCCATCCCGCCCTCCCAGACCCCATCCCCTTCTCCCAGATTCCATCCCCTTCTCCCAGATTCCATCCCCTTCTCCCAGATTCCATCCCCTTCTCCCTCATTCCATCTCCTTCTCCCAGATTCCACCCCCTTCTTCCAGATTCCATCTCCATCTCCCAGATTCCATCCCCTTCTCACAAATTCCATCCCCTTCTCCCAGGTTCCATCCCCTTCTCCCAGATTCCATCCCCTTCTCCCAGATTCCATCCCCTTCTCCCCGATTCCATTCCCTTCTCACAAATTCCATCCCCTTCTCCCAGATTCTATCCCCTTCTCCCAAATTCCATCCCCTTCTCCCAGATTCCATCCCCTTCTCTCTGATTTGATCCGCTTCTCCTAGATTCCATCCCCTTCTCCTTGATTCCATCCCCTTCTCCCAGATTCCATCCCCTTCTCCAAGATTCCATCCCCTTCTCCCTCATTCCATCTCCTTCTCCCAGATTCCACCCCCTTCTTCCAGATTCCATCCCCTTCTCCCAGATTCCATCCCCTTCTCTCAAATTCCATCCCCTTCTCCCAGATTCCATCCCCTTCTCCCAGATTCCATCCCCTCCTCCCAGATTCCATCCCCTTCCCCCTCATTCCATCTCCTTCTCCCAGATTCCACCCCCTTCTTCCAGATTCCATCCCCTTCTCCCCGATTCCATCACCTTTTCCCAAATTCCATCCCCTTCTCCCAGATTCCATCCCCTTCTCCCAGATTCCATCCCCTTCTCCCTGGTTCCATCCCCTTCTCCCTGATTCCATCCCCTTCTCCCAGATTCCATCCCCTTCTCCCAGATTCCATCCCCTTCTCCCAGATTCCATCCCCTTCTACCAGATTCCATCCCCTTCTCCCTCATTCTATCCCCTTCTCCCAGATTCTATCCTGCCCTCCCAGACTCCATCCCCTTCTCCCAGATTCCATCCCCTTCTCCCAGATTCCATCCCCTTCTCCCAGATTCCATCCCCTTCTCCCTCATTCCATCTCCTTCTCACAGATTCCACCCCCTTCTTCCGGATTCCATCCCCTTCTCCGAGATTCCATCCCGTTCTCACAAATTCCATCCCCTTCTCCCGGATTCCATCCCCTTCTCCCAGAATCCATCCCCTTCTCCCAGATTCCATCCCCTTCTCCCAGATTCCATCCCCTTCTCCCAGATTCCATCCCCTTCTCCTTGATTCGATCCCCTTCTCCCAGATTCCATCCCCTTCTCCCAGATTCTATCCCCTTCTCCCATAATCCATCTCCTTCTCCCAGACGCCACCCCCTTCTTCCAGATTCCATCCCCTTCTGCCAGATTCCATTCCCTTTTCCCAAATTCCATCCCCTTCTCTTAGACTCCATCCCCTTCTCCCAGATTCCATCCCCTTCTCCCAGATTCCATCCCCTTCTCCCAGATTCCATCCCCTTCTCCCAGATTCCATCCCCTTCTCCCTGATTCAATCCCCTTCTCCCCGATTCCATCCCCTTCTCCCTCATTCCATCCCCTTCTCCCAGATTCCACCCCCTTCTTCCTGATTCCATCCCCTTCTCCCAGATTCCATCCCCTTCTCCCAAATTCCATCCCCTTCTTCCACATTCCATCCACTTCTCCCAGATTCCATCCCCTTCTCCCAGATTCCATCCCCTTCTCCCAGATTCCATCCCCTTCTCCCAGATTCCATCCCCTTCTCCCAGATTCCATCCCTTCTCCCATATTCCATCCCCTTCTCCCAGATTCCATCCCCTTCTCCCAGATTCCATCCCCTTCTCCCAGATTCCATCCCTTTCTCTCAGATTCCACCCCCTTCTCCCATATTCCATCCCCTTCTCCGAGATTCCATCCCCTTCTCCCAGATTCTATCCCCTTCTCCCAGATTCCATCCCCTTCTCCCAGATTCCATCCCCTTCTCCCTGATTCCATCCCCTTCTCCTTGATTCCATCCCCTTCTCCCACATTCCATCCCCTTCTCCCAGATTCCATCCCCTTCTCCCATATTCCATCCCCTTCTCCCAGATTCCATCCCTTTCTCCCAGATTCCATCCCTTTCTCCCTGATTCCATCCCCTTTTTCCACATTCCATCCCCTTCTACCAGATTCCATCCTTTTCTCCCATATTCCATCCCCTTCTCCCAGATTCCATCCCCTTCTCCCAGATTCCATCCCCTTCTCCCAGATTCCATCCCCTTCTCCCAGATTCCATCCCCTTCTCCCAGATTCCATCCCCTTCTCCCATATTCCATCCCCTTCTCCCAGATTCCATCCCCTTCTCCCAGATTCCATCCCCTTCTCCCAGATTCCATCCCTTTCTCTCAGATTCCACCCCCTTCTCCCAGAGTCCATCTCCTTCTCCCAGATTCCATCCCCTTCTCCCAGATTCCATCCCCTTCTCCCAGATTCCATCCCCTTCTCCCATATTCCATCCCCTTCTCCCAGATTCCATCCCCTTCTCCCAGATTCTATCCCCTTCTCCCAGATTCCATCCCCTTCTCCCAGATTCCATCCCCTTCTCCCTGATTCCATCCCCTTCTCCTTGATTCCATCCCCTTCTCCCACATTCCATCCCCTTCTCCCAGATTCCATCCCCTTCTCCCATATTCCATCCCCTTCTCCCAGATTCCATCCCTTTCTCCCAGATTCCATCCCTTTCTCCCTGATTCCATCCCCTTTTTCCAGATTCCATCCCCTTCTACCAGATTCCATCCTTTTCTCCCAGATTCCATCCCCTTCTCCCAGATTCCATCCCCTTCTCCCAGATTCCATCCCCTTCTCTCAGATTCCATCCCGCCCTCCCAGACTCCATCCCCTTCTCCTAGATTCCATTCCCTTCTCCCAGATTCCATCCCCTTCTCCCCGATTCCATCCCCTTCTCCCTCATTCCATCTCCTTCTCCCAGATTCCACCACCTTCTTCTAGATTCCATCCCCTTCTCCCCGATTCCATCCCCTTCTCCCAAATTCCATCCCCTTCTCCCAGATTCCATCCCCTTCTCCCAGATTCCATCCCCTTCTCCCTGATGCCATCCCCTTCGCCCAGATTCCATCCCCTTCTCCCCGATTCCATCCCCTTCTCCCTCATTCCATCCCCTTCTCCCAAATTCCATCCCCTTCTCCCAGATTCCATCGCGCCCTCCCAGACTCAATCCCCTTCTCCCACATTCCATCCCCTTCTCCCAGTTTCCATCCCCTTCTCCCAGATTCCATCCCCTTCTCACAGATTCCATCCCCTTCTCCTAGATTCAATCCCCTTCTCCCAGATTCCATCCCCTTCTCCCAGATTCCATCCCCTTCTCCCAGATTCTATCCCCTTCTCTCAGATTCTATCCCCTTCTCCCTGATTCCATCCCCTTCTCCTAGATTCCATCACCTTCTCCCAGATTCTATCCCCTTCTCCCAGATTCCATTTCCTTATCCCATATTCCATCCCCTTCTCCCAGATTCCATCCCCTTCTCCCAGATTCCATCCCCTTCTCCCTGATTCCATCCCCTTCTCCCAAATTCCATCCCCTTCTCCCAGATTCCATCCCCTTCTCCCAGATTCCATCCCCTTCTCCCAGATTCCATCCCCTTTTGCAAGATTCCATCCCCTTCTCCCTCATTCTATCCCCTTCTCCCAGATTCAATCCCGCCCTCCCAGACCCATCCCCTTCTCCCAGATTCCATCCCCTTCTCCCAGATTCCATCCCCTTCTCCCAGATTCCATCTCCTTCTCCCTCATTCCATCTCCTTCTCCCAGATTCCACCCCCTTCTTCCAGATTCCATCTCCTTCTCCCTGATTCCATCCCCTTCTCACAAATTCCATCCCCTTCTCCCAGATTCCATCCCCTTCTCCTAGATTCCATCCCCTTCTCCCAGATTCCATCCCCTTCTCCCAGATTCCATCCCCTTCTCCCAGATTCCATCCCCTTCTCCCTGATTCGATCCCCTTCTCCCAGATTCCATCCCCTTCTCCCAGATTCCATCCCCTTCTCCCAGATTCCATCCCCTTCTCCCTGATTCCATCCCCTTCTCCCCGATTCCATCCCCTTCTCCCTCATTCCATCCCCTTCTCCTAGATTCCACCCCCTTCTTCCTGATTCCATCCCCTTCTTCCACATTCCATCCCCTTCTCCCAGATTCCATCCCCTTCTTCCACATTCCATCCACTTCTCCCAGATTCCATCCCCTTCTCCCAGATTCCATCCCCTTCTCCAATTCATCCCTTCTCCAGATTCCATCCCCTTCTCCCAGATTCCATCCCCTTCTCCCAGATTCCATCCCCTTCTCCCATATTCCATCCCCTTCTCCCAGATTCCATCCCCTTCTCCCAGATTCCATCCCCTTCTCCCAGATTCCATCCCCTTCTCCCAGATTCCATCCCCTTCTCCCAGATTCCATCCCCTTCTCCCATATTCCATCCCCTTCTCCCAGATTCCATCCCCTTCTCCCAGATTCTATCCCCTTCTCCCAGATTCCATCCCCTTCTCCCACATTCCATCCCCTTCTCCCTGATTCCATCCCCTTCTCCGAGATTCCATCTCCTTCTCCCACATTCCATCCCCTTCTCCCAGATTCCATCCCCTTCTCCCATATTCCATCCCCTTCTCCCAGATTCCATCCCTTTCTCCCAGATTCCATCCCTTTCTCCCTGATTCCATCCCCTTTTTCCAGATTCCATCCCCTTCTACTAGATTCCATCCTTTTCTCCCAGATTCCATCCCCTTCTCCCAGATTCCATCCCCTTCTCCCAGATTCTATTCCCTTCTCCCAGATTCCATCCCGCCCTCCCAGACTCCATCCCCTTCTCCTAGATTCCATTCCCTTCTCCCAGATTCCATCCCCTTCTCCCCGATTCCATCCCCTTCTCCCTCATTCCATCTCCTTCTCCCAGATTCCACCACCTTCTTCCAGAACCCATCCCCTTCACCCCGATTCCATCCCCTTCTCCCAAATTCCATCCCCTTCTCCATATTCCATCCCCTTCTCCCATATTCCATCCCCTTCTCCCTGATTCCATCCCCTTCGCCCAGATTCCATCCCCTTCTCCCTCATTCCATCCCCTTCTCCCAAACTCCATCCCCTTCTCCGAGATTCCATCGCGCCCTCCCAGACTAAATCCCCTTCTCCCAGATTCCATCCCCTTCTCCCAGTTTCCATCCCCTTCTCCCAGATTCCATCCCCTTCTCACAGATTCCATCCCCTTCTCCTAGATTCCATCCCCTTCTCCCAGATTCCATCCCCTTCTCCCAGATTCCATCCCCTTCTCCCAGATTCTATCCCCTTCTCTCAGATTCTCTCCCCTTCTCCCTGATTCCATCCCCTTCTCCCAGATTCTATCCCCTTCTCCCAGATTCCATTTCCTTCTCACATATTCCATCCCCTTCTCCCAGATTCCATCCCCTTCTCCCAGATTCCATCCCCTTCTCCCTGATTCATCCCCTTCTCCCAAATTCCATCCCCTTCTCCCAGATTCCATCCCCTTCTCCCAGATTCCATCCCCTTCTCCCAGATTCCATCCCCTTTTGCCAGATTCCATCCCCTTCTCCCTCATTCTATCCCCTTCTCCCAGATTCCATCCCGCCCTCCCAGACCCCATCCCCTTCTCCCAGATTCCATCTCCTTCTCCCAGATTCCACCCCCTTCTCCCAGATTCCATCCCCTTCTCCCTCATTCCATCTCCTTCTCCCAGATTCCACCCCCTTCTTCCAGATTCCATCTCCTTCTCCCAGATTCCATCCCCTTCTCACAAATTCCATCCCCTTCTCCCAGGTTCCATCCCCTTCTCCCAGATTCCATCCCCTTCTCCCAGATTCCATCCCTTTCTCCCCGATTCCATTCCCTTCTCACAAATTCCATCCCCTTCTCCCAGATTCCATCCCCTTCTCCCAGATTCCATCCCCTTCTCCCAGATTCCATCCCCTTCTCCCAGATTCCATCCCCTTCTCCCAGATTCCATCCCCTTCTCCCTGATTCGATCCCCTTCTCCCAGATTCCATCCCCTTCTCCCAGATTCCATCCCCTTCTCCCATATTCCATCCCCTTCTCCCAGATTCCATCCCCTTCTCCCGGATTCCATCCCCTTCTTCCAGATTCCATCCCCTTCTCCCAGATTCCATCCCCTTCTCCCAAATTCCATCCCCTTCTCCCAGATTCCATCCCCTTTTCCCAGATTCCATCCCCTTCTCCCAGATTCTATCCCCTTCTCCCAAATTCCATCCCCTTCTCCCAGATTCCATCCCCTTCTCTCTGATTTGATCCGCTTCTCCCAGATTCCATCCCCTTCTCCCAGATTCCATCCCCTTCTCCCAGATTCCATCCCCTTCTCCAAGATTCCATCCCCTTCTCCCTCATTCCATCTCCTTCTCCCAGATTCCACCCCCTTCTTCCAGATTCCATCCCCTTCTCCCAGATTCCATCCCCTTCTCTCAAATTCCATCCCCTTCTCCCAGATTCCATCCCCTTCTCCCAGATTCCATCCCCTCCTCCCAGATTCCATCCCCTTCCCCCTCATTCCATCTCCTTCTCCCAGATTCCACCCCCTTCTTCCAAATTCCATCCCCTTCTCCCAGATTCCATCCCCTTCTCCCAGATTCCATCCCCTTCTCCCTGGTTCCATCCCCTTCTCCCTGATTCCATCCCCTTCTCCCAGATTCCATCCCCTTCTCCCAGATTCCATCCCCTTCTCCCAGATTCCATCCCCTTCTACCAGATTCCATCCCCTTCTCCCTCATTCTATCCCCTTCTCCCAGATTCTATCCTGCCCTCCCAGACTCCATCCCCTTCTCCCAGATTCCATCCCCTTCTCCCAGATTCCATCCCCTTCTCCCAGATTCCATCCCCTTCTCCCAGATTCCATCCCCTTCTCCCTCATTCCATCTCCTTCTCACAGATTCCACCCCCTTCTTCCGGATTCCATCCCCTTCTCCGAGATTCCATCCCCTTCTCACAAATTCCATCCCCTTCTCCCGGATTCCATCCCCTTCTCCCAGAATCCATCCCCTTCTCCCAGATTCCATCCCCTTCTCCCAGATTCCATCCCCTTCTCCCAGATTCCATCCCCTTCTCCTTGATTCGATCCCCTTCTCCCAGATTCCATCCCCTTCTCCCAGATTCTATCCCCTTCTCCCATAATCCATCCCCTTCTTCCAGATTCCATCCCCTTCTCCCAGATTCCATCCCCTTCTCCCAAATTCCATCCCCTTCTCCCAGATTCCATCCCCTTCTCCCAGATTCCATCCCCTTCTCCCAGATTCCATCCCCTTCTTCCAGATTCCATCCCCTTCTCCCAGATTCCATCCCCTTCTCCCAGATTCCATCCCCTTCTCCCAGATTCCATCCCCTTCTCCTTGATTCGATCCCCTTCTCCCATAATCCATCCCCTTCTCCCAGATTCCATCCCCTTCCCCCAGATTCCATCCCCTTCTTCCAGATTCCGTCCCCTTCTCCCAGATTCCATCCCCTTCTCCCAAATTCCATCCCCTTCTCCCAGATTCCATCCCCTTCTCCCATATTCCATCATCTTCTCCCACATTCCATCCCCTTCTCCCAGATTCCATCCCCTTCTCCCTCATTGCATCTCCTTCTCCCAGATTCCACCCCCTTCTTCCAGATTCCATCCCCTTCTCCCAGATTCCATCCCCTTCTCTCAAATTCCATCCCCTTCTCCCAGATTCCATCCCCTTCTCCCAGATTCCATCCCCTTCTCCCTGATTCCATCCCCTTCTCCCAGATTCCATCCCCTTCTCCCAGATTCCATCCCCTTCTCCCAGATTCCATCCCCTTCTCCCCGATTCCATCCCCTTCTCCTAGATTCCATCCCCTTCTCCCAGATTCCACCCCCTTCTCCCAGATTCCATCACCTTCTCCCAAATTCCATCCCCTTCTCCCTGATTCCATCCCCTTCTCCCGGATTCCATCCCCTTCTCCAGGATTCCATCCCCTTCTCCCAGATTCCATAACCTTCTCCCAGATTCCATCTCCTTCTCCCACATTCCATCCCCTTCTTCCAGATTTCATCCCCTTCTCCCAGATTCCACCCCCTTCTCCCAGATTCCATCCCCATCTCACAGATTCTATCCCCTTCTCCCAGATTCCATCCCCTTCTCCCAGATTCCATCCCCTTCTCCCAGATTCCATCCCCTTCTCCCAGATTCCATCCCGCCCTCCCAGACTCCATCCCCTTCTCCCAGATTCCATCCCCTTCTCCTAGATTCCATCCCCTTCTCCCGGATTCCATCCCCTTCTCCCAGATTCCATCCCCTTCTCCCATATTCCATCCCCTTCTCCCAGATTCCATCCCGCCCTCCCAGACTCCATCCCCTTCTCCCATATTCCATCCCCTTCTCCTAGATTCTATCCCCTTCTCCCAGATTCCATCCCCTTCTCCCAGATTCCATCCCCTTCTCCCATATTCCATCCCCTTCTCCCAGATTCCATCCCCTTCTCCCATAATCCATCCCCTTCTCCCAGATTCCATCCCCTTCTCCCAGATTCCATCCCCTTCTCCCATATTCCATCCCCTTCTCCCAGATTCCATCCCCTTCTCCCAGATTCCATCCCCTTCTCCCTCATTCCATCTCCTTCTCCCATATTCCATCCCCTTCTCCCAGATTCCATCCCCTTCTCCCATATTCCATCCCCTTCTCCCTAATTCCATCTCCTTCTCCCATATTCCATCCCCTTCTCCCAGATTCCATCCCCTTCTCTCATATTCCATCCCCTTCTCCCTAATTCCATCCCATTCTCCCCGATTCCAACCCCTTCTCCCAGATTCCATCCTCTTCTCCCTAATTGCATCTCCTTCTCCCAGATTCCATCCCCTTCTCCCTGATTCCATCCCCTTCTCCCATATTCCATCCTCTTCTCCCTCATTCCATCTCCTTCTCCCATATTCCATCCCCTTCTCCCAGATTCCATCCCCTTCTCCCATATTCCATCCCCTTCTCCCTAATTCCATCCCCTTCTCCCCGATTCCAACCCCTTCTCCCAGATTCCATCCTCTTCTCCCTAATTGCATCTCCTTCTCCCAGATTCCATCCCCTTCTCCTAGATTCCATCCCCTTCCCCCAGATTCCATCCCCTTCTTCCAGATTCCATCCCCTTCTCCAAGATTCCATCCCCTTCTCCCAAATTCCATCCCCTTCTCCCAGATTCCATCCCCTTCTCCCAGATTCCATCCCCTTCTCCCAGATTCCATCCCCTTCTCCCAGATTCCATCCCGCCCTCCCAGACTCCATCCCCTTCTCCCAGATTCCATCCCCTTCTCCTAGATTCTATCCCCTTCTCCCAGATTCCATCCCTTTCTCCCAGATTCCATCCCCTTCTCCCATATTCCATCCCCTTCTCCCAGATTCCATCCTCTTCTCCCAGATGACATCCCCTTCTCCCATATTCCATCCCCTTCTCCCAGATTCCATCCCCTTCTCCCTCATTCCATCTCCTTCTTCCAGATTCCACCCCCTTCTTCCAGATTCCATCCCCTTCTCCCAGATTCTATCCCCTTCTCTCAAATTCCATCCCCTTCTCCCAGATTCCATCCCCTTCTCCCAGATTCCATCCCCTTCTCCAGATTCCATCCCCTTCTCCAAGATTCCATCCCCTTCTCCCAGATTCCATCCCCTTCTCCCAGATTCCATCCCCTTCTCCCAGATTCCATCCCCTTCTCCCCGATTCTATCCCCTTCTCCTAGATTCCATCCCTTTCTCCCAGATTCCACCCCCTTCTCCCAGATTCCATCACCTTCTCCCAGATTCCATCCCCTTCTCCCTGATTCCATCCC